ATTCTGGAGGTTTTTGAAACGTCTCATTTTCCAGTCACCAAAAACATGAAGTTATTGCCATAAAACCTGGATGTTTTTTTAGAGTTGCAGTAAAAACTCAAAGGAAATGGAAAACTGTGAATTTTGCCCATTAGGTCACCTTTAAAGATCCGTTCCTGAAGCTGTACAGTAGGGAATCATGAAAACCAGGACAAAGATCTTCTCTCTCTCTGTCTTTTGTCTGAGTCTCACGCTGAGATATGAACCGCTGCGTGTCGCCCCAGTTCAGCCCTTTCCCATGATGCTCTGCAGGGATCCGTTTATCTGCAGACAGGAAACGCTCAGAGCTGAGAGTCGATGTGTCTGATTCCAGCTGTCAGGTCTGAGTTCATCTCTCTGGTTCACATGAAGCTGCAACAATCAGACACCTGGAAGTGTCATCAGAGCGACGCAGTGAAACCACCTCATTGTTCTATTTGTCTCATAAATATCTGATTTTTATCTGTAAGGAACATCAGTCGCTGTTGGTGCAGCTCGTTTCTGGCACTGATGTAAAATCTCTGCTCTGCAGCCTCTGGAAACAACTTTTCTCTGAGAAACACGACTGAGTTTCTCCAGTCACTGGATTCCATGTGCAGCAAGAAGCAAAAGAAGGTGAAATACTAAAATATGAAAACCAATTAAAATGGAGGAAACTCAGTTTGACACTAATCTGGTTTCACTTTAGCACAACTGGAGGTCAGTGAAGTGGAAAGACTCTCTACCTGCAGCCCAACCTGGCAACGAGCGCCGCCTCCAAAACCTCAATGAAATACGTTTGGAGTCTTCCTCTGGTGGACTTCCTGTCCATGTCTGGGTCGCAGCTTCTTGATATTCTGTTAATGTGGACAATGTCCTGCTGCAGTCAACCAGATCTGGACATAACATTGCAGGATCCAGATCCATCAGGTGCAACAATGTTGGGACTTTTGAAGCTCAGATGCCTCTAAATAAAAAGTTTTCCAGATCACCCAGTGATGCCCATATCAGCCAGTCCACCTTCACAGGGCCATTGCAGACTTTAGTTGTTTCAGACCTAATTAGTTTAGTTTTGCTGGCCTTCAGTGAGGTTGGTGCAGAGTTCAGCTGCTCTTCTGCAAGATGAAATGCTGACGCACAGCATCCTGGACACGGCGACTTCATGGCCTCGTTCTGGATCAGGGAAATTACAGCTGTCAGAACATTTCACATCACATTTTAATCATGCAGCAGACAGCGGCTGTCTGCTGATTCATTCACCTCGTTATGCATTTCAGTCCATTCTCTCACAGCTGAATAATAAGAGATGAGAGCCGTCTGGCTCTGATCTCAGAGTTCTCCATGTGGGGCCTGACAGCCATCCGTCCTTTCAGTCTAAATGCAGAACTTCAACTCAGAACTCCACAAACTGAGGTGAAACTTGGACCAGTGCATTTGGATAGAAACGGGTCCTGTGAGGTTTTCAGTCTGGATGTCTGACGCTCCAGTGATTTCATTTTGGTGTTTGTTGAGGTTTGGTTTCCTCACCCAGCTGACACTTTGGCCTCTTCCACCACAGATGACCAAAAGGTTCAGGTTACTGGTTTTACCTTCAATAATGGTCCAGCTGGAGATTGAACATGTTTACTGCCTTTGCTCAGTCTCTGGGCCAATCAGTAACTACTGTCTGCCAATCAAATCACCGGCTGCGTTCGGCTTGAAAAGTTGTTCCAATAAACGGGCAGAACTGCGAAGGACCTGCAAATCTAGACAAATCTGTCTGGATTAGACTGGGGAAGAGCTGGCGAACGCCCAGGAGGAGCTTTAAACGTCTGGAAGGAAGGATCTACGGTAACTCCTGTCCTTTCTCCCACTGAGTCAAATGGTGTCAAATTTATTTTATTTTGGCCAAAATTAGGATTATAACTGTCCTCAAAGGGCCGTTTGTGCCAGAGTATTCTGATAAAATCTATTAGACTGTTAAAATATTAATAAATACCTGTCTGAATTTAATAGCATCTTTTTATTTTTGCTGCCACCTGCAGGTGGGAGTTGGCATCACTTCAACCCAACGGTTTTGACCACTTTGGAGGAAAATTTCCAATAAACACATAATTTTGCATTAGTGCAAAAAGTGCAGGAATCTGTTGATTTTCCATGAATCACAATAAACTTCAGAGACTGAATGATGTGAATTTACTTTGATTTGACTGATAAATGATCTCAGATCATTCAACTGTTTAATAGTTTTACTTTGGGTTCTGGCTCTGAGTTTGACATGCTTCATTTTATGCTTAGATTAGTTTAGGTTTTGGTGAATTTACTCAGTTTACTAATGAAATAGATGCTTTACTTTGAATAAGATTTTGGGTCAAAAAACCAGATTAACTGGATGCGACTGATGTTCCTGGTTGGGACCAGGATGAAGAAAGAAATAAAATAAAATGCAGACTGAAGAAGTTTCTGTGTTTATCTGAAGGTTTGACTGAAACCTGGTGAGGAGAAAATGTCACGGCCGTTCAGTTGGAGGTCACAGGTTCATAATGAGCCATGAAACCAGTTCAGGACTCATTTCCATGCAGTGACAGCCGGTGGCAGCGTGGAAATGGATCATGGCCGCTTCGCCCAGACCGACGTCGCTCTGCGTTTAATGACACACAGACGAACCTGCTGTGGTTGACAAGGCAGGAAAACACAAATGTTTCTGTTTGAAATGGTTTTTCTTCTCTGTAACCATCAAAATTACAAGAACTTATAAAAAATTACTTGAAATGTTTCACTTTGAGTGACGAATATATAAAATCAATGAGTTTCACTTTCTGAATTGATATAAAAACTTTGACAGCTGTTCACAAATGATTCTTTTGAACAGTTCTTTATGATGGAACTGGAGATTCATTTGTTTTTTTGTGACTTTGTTGATTTATGCTTTACACACTCTGCCACTTATATAATTTAAATTTACAGGCGAATAAATACAATAATACGAAGGGATGATTGTATAATTCTTTATTTTGGTTCAATGTTATAAATAATACAAAAATGCTGTCAATACAAACAACATTTACATATTATATGCTTAATTTTTTTACTGTATAGAGAGTTATATTTGATAAATTAGAATATGCATTCCAGTGAGTCGTTGTCAGATTAAAAAAATAACAGGCTTTAAATCAGGACCATTATTTTTTATAGGTTGGATGTAACATGCTAATCTTAAATGTCAGGTTTTTATTCCTGCAAGCATAAAATCATCATAATTACCATAAATAAGGGCTTGAAAACATCAGACTGAGGGTAATTAATCTATATAATGTGCTTCACTTTGTAAACTGAGTTACAAAAACAAATGAACTTTTCAACATGTTGCTGAATGGAGCCGTACATGACATTTTATTTCCTACAACAATACTGCTTTTATTTTGCACTGTCTTGATAAAAATATAAATACAGACGATTCAACTTGTTTTAATAATTTCACCAAGAAATGTCAAGATTCTCTCATCTAATATGAAACTATATACAGGCTAAAATGGTTTGTTCTTTGAAAAAGGTACATTTTCAAAAATAAATTGGCTTTTCAGAGTGAACCTTCAAAGAACTGCTCACTGTACACAAAAAGTAAAATAGATGCTAACATTGATTTTCTACAAATTTATGTTTTAATCAACTTTTTTTTTTATGGTCAAAATCGTTTAATTTACATGAAATGCAGTTCTGCGCTTCACCTCTGGGGGCGCTGTCTCACACAAAGTGAATGAAGCAGGAAGTTGGCGCTTGCTCATTGCTGTTAATATTGCTAATGAACTTGTTTAGTGATACATTTTCTACATGTGGTGACGCTCCACAGTCTGGCTAATATATTTAAATAATGTGTGTGATTAGACTTCCTGATCGGCGCAGTGACGATGCGCAGGATGAGGCAGGAAGTACTGCTCCTCACTGTTAGGGGGCGATGCTGAGCCACACAGACACTGTGGACACAACGAGCGGCAGGTGCTCTTCTTCTACGCTTTGAAAAACCTGAAAACTATCGGAAAATACATAAAGTGATGTCGGAATAAAACCGTTCAAGGCTGCTCTGCTGTTCGGTGTTCATCTTCATTAAAACGGTCAGATTTTAAAAAACTAAAGGATTTTTTTCCAACAGAGGGACAGATATTGGTAGGTGGAGACTTCACATGAAAATACAGGTAAAGTCATTCTCGATTTACAGTTTTAATCTGAAAAGAGAGAGAGGCTAGCCAAAAAAAAAATCATTCAAAATTCAAAGAGAACATCTAATTTGACCTTATATTAAATATTCTCTCATTCATCTTTTATCTGTTGAGTTATATGGAAATGATTAAAGCATTATCAGAGGTGAGCAGCTAGGTTTTTGGAGGAAATTTACTTTTAGGAGTAGTTTACTGTACAGTTTACTTTTTCTTGAGTAAATAGTCAAAAACTGTAATCAGTTAAGATCAAAGTGATGACGGTGTATTAGGACCATTGTAAATAAAATAAAAAAAGGAGATTTTTTTTTTTTTTCCCCAAAAACTCACATTCATCTGGAATTTTTCTCGGGAAACATTGAAATTTGAGTTTCAAAAGTAAAAAAAAAAAAATCAAGTTTGAAATTGAGATAATTTCAAAGGTTTTTATATAAAATTTCTGATATTAATCTCAAAATTGCAGTTTTTCCTTGAACATTTTTGACTTCGGGAGCCCACAGATGTCTGTATGATTAAAGAAATTTTTTTACAAGTTTTAGTGGAAATTTACTCCCTTTTCTCTGTCCACGCCATTTCACAACATTGAAAAATGAGTTTCTATGTTGTGTTTTGTGTTTATCTGATTCTAGCGGCGTCGTTCCTACCCAGAATCCTCCTGTGCTGGTCATTTCCGTCCTGTAGAGGGCGCTGACAGGTCACAGCTTAACATTAACAGTTGATGTTTGCAAACAGAAATGTGTGATTTTTATGATTTGACTCAGGCGGAGCTGCGACACACAGAGTTCAGGTGACAGAGCTTTGTTTGTAGCTCTGTGTCGCATTTTCAATTTAAGACTGAAAACAAAACTAAACAAGATGAATAATTCATGCAGCGTGTGTGTGAATGTGTGTGTGTTTCTCTGCTAATCCCTTCAGTTTTGCTGCTGATTTTCTTTGTCAAGCGTGAGAGAGTAATTAATCAGATCTGAAATGAGATTCTGGAATTAAAAATGTCTGTGAGTGTGTGTGTGTGTGTGTGTGTGTGTGTGTGTGTGTGTGTGTGTGTGTGTGTGTGTGTGTGTGGCACCAGTCTAGCCTTAATGGATCCTGACAAGCGAATTATATCAGCTTCCTCCCAGTTTTCACTGTATCTGCCAGGCTTCCTCTGCATGCTGACCACTTCCTGCTGCGACTCTCTGCATTAATGACTGCAGTCTGTCTGAATGCCGATGGATCGGCGGTGAATTGTGAAGCTCTCCTTCAGGCCTGGTCAAGGTTAAAAGCCGCTTTATGAGTGCGGGGAATCCCTGGTTGTGAGGGAACGGGACGTGGAGAGTTTTTGACCTTTGGTTTTTCTGAGCCGCGCTCAGTATGCAGCGCGCCGCTGGCGCTCCGCTAACTGCACGGCGGAGCGGCGCGTCGGGCTGTGAAATGAATTTTTACTCAAAACGACGAAGTCTTGACTGCATCCCAAACTAAGGCTGGGCATTTATCGACATACTTTTCTTATCACAATAAGAATTTTAATTAATTGTTTTCACAATAAATTACAGTTATTGATGTTTTTTTTACTTCCGATACCGATATCTGATATCAGCTGATACCGATGCAGAAAAACAGCTGAGTTGACTTAAATGTTTGTTCTGTAAATGAACTGAATTATAAATTTATTTGAAAACTCTGCACCAGTTCAGCACACTCAGATAGCATCTCAGGTTTGGACAAACGTGAAAACAACTTTAATTTGTTCAGTCAATGAGGTTAGGAGTGAAACAACCAATGGAAAATAAATGATAAAGAAATATTTGGTGTTTGATCTATTAAAATAGGCCCTTATAAGAGTTTATATAAGCATATGTGAACTCTCCAAAAGCAGGTAGAGGACTACAACGCAGGGCATTCTGGGTAAATACAAACAAAACAAACACGTTAGCGTAGCACTAGCAGGAGACGTGACTCTTGACTTTTGGTAAAAGACGGGAAGAAAAATCCTACAAACGCTACAATCCATTTCTGTTTCCATCTGGTGAAGCAGGAAGTTGCTCTCAGTGTCTTCAGAGGTTTTTGTGTCGTTTCCTTTAGTGGTTCTTGGTGCAGCGCCCCCACAGGCCAGGAGGGGAACAGGTTGGTTTGACTCAGAGCAGCTGGAGGTGGAGCAGATGATGGAGTTCTGATTCTAATTGAACCAAGTCTGTCAGGAGGGAAAACACAAATGTTCCTGCTTCCCTGCAGTAGAACCTGCAGCCTCAGTCCAAGGAAACAAACTGGGTTTGAACTAAACAACAAAAAAAAATCCTCTTTAGGTTTTTCATCACTTTATATTTGGTTCAAACTTGCGATGACACTGATGGCTGCTGGTTATTTTCTCTCCGTGTTGGGATGATGAAACTTTCCTCCTGGGAATCCCGGCTCAGAAGTGTTTTCCCTGCGGCAGGACTCTGATGGTTATTTTAAGTTATTATACTGCAGAGTTTATGTAAAAGAAAAGCGAGTTGAACTACTCTGCAGGTTTTCTAAATGTTCCTTGTTCCGCAGATTTAAACTTCCAGTTTTTAGTGATTTTCTGCCGGTCATTCTGGATCACAGCTCAGACATTCTGCCGCTCCGCTTTGCTAATCTTCTTCAAAATGAGTACAGAACGGATCCGTCAGCGCTCCTCTCGCTACCTGACAGCCAATTAGCCCGGCTTTCCTCGTGGAAATTAAACAACCTGAACAGATGAGACGTCCAGCTCTTTGAGGTTGATTTGACTTTAAAAAAGCAGCAGAGTTTTGATTAAAGTCCACTTAGTTTGTGTAAAATAAACCGTTTAAAACTCCTCCCGAGAGCGTTAACGTGGGTCAGGAATATGCAGAAGACCAAGACAAACGTCCTCTGGACAGATGAGATGTTCAGCATCAGAAACATCTTTTATCAGTTATAAAGCACGGCAGTGGAGGAATGATGATGTGGGAATGTTTTGTAGCCACAGCACCTGATCATCTTGCAGTCATTAGTTGCATTTCCATCAATGTTAGAAATTATAAAATTCAACATAACTTCCTGAATTTCACCAAAAAGTTTTTATGCTACAGTAGCTTGGCACGGTTAATGGAGCTGGTTGGTATTGGGGGGTGTTGGATGGTGTTTGGTGGCATCAGGTGGTGTTGGGTGGTGTTGGGTGGTTTCTTGTGGTGTTGGGTGGTTTTTTGTGGTATTGGGTGGTGTTGGGTAGTATTGGGGGGTGTTGGATGGTGTTTGGTGGCATCAGGTGGTATCAGGTGGTGTTGGGTGGTTTTTTGTGGTATTGGGTGGTGTTGGGTAGTATTGGGGGGTGTTGGATGGTGTTTGGTGGCATCAGGTGGTGTTGGGTGGTGTTGGGTGGTTTCTTGTGGTGTTGGGTGGGGTTTTGTGGTGTTGGGTGGTGTTGGGTGGTGTTGGGTGGTGG